CATTACATTACCTTGATAACGTTGTCCCCTCTTATATATACCCGCCTACCCCATCTAGCAAACACTAGAGCATTCCTGAAGAAACAAGATAGTTCTAGAAACGTGGCGTCACAGTGGTCATGTGACTCGATGACGCAACAACATATACATAGATATTTACTCATAAATGCTTAAATTTTAGTTATTTTTCTTAAAATATGAACAATAAATGAACATTACATAGAAAAATAATGATTTCTAGTACTTACAAAAAATTACAGTGATAGGAAAATGTCTTATGTGCCTTTTGTGCTAAGCCTCCTTTATTTTTTCAAGTGGAGGGTGAAGAAATATAATTTTTCTAGGTTTTAAATATACATTTTAGAAAGAAAGAAATATATTACATTACTTTACTAGTACACCAAAACATCTGTAACTTGCTTGAGATTATAAATAAAGTGTATATGCATTAATATTTTTTTTATCTCCATTCATTGAACAGTCTTGGCAAAATTATTATTTTCTCTTCCAAGCTCTTTACAAATAACTATCAGAATCACATAAAGCACAACATGTCCTTTCTATTATTTCAGAATTTAAAAATCTGATCATCAACCATTTTCCAAATTTAAAGACTTTTAATTATATTTCTTAATAGTATAAATGTATACTGTGTTGTTGTTGTTGGGCTTAGGATTCTTCTACAGTAGGTGTCTGTGACTTGTTAGTGATAAATTCAACTATGAATAAACAGCATGCTCTTCACTTGTTTTCAAAATAATATATAGATATTCAGAACAAGTTAATGTATGTACAATAAATTCTTCAACACTACAGATATAATGGGCATGTCATAAATACTATATATGTAGTTCTTTCCTTCTTCTCAAATATCCACTTATGCCTATTCAATTACTTTAGAATTTCAGTTGACAAGCCGAACTGTCTTGTGGCACAAGTTACCATCAATCGTTAGGCCTATCACTTCTACAGTACCTAACTTCACACCAACTTTATTCTCTTTCTCTATTATCTATCTGCTTCTCTCTGTCTGTTGCTTCACGCTCATCTAATGCTATTATTATCTTTATTACCAAGTCGTCTGTCCACCTTCTATATTCTCGATGTCAATATATTGCACATGACATTCGATATTCTCAACATTGAAGGATTATTAACAAAACTTTGTACAATCACCTGCTTTTAACTCTTATAATAACAAAAACTAAACAATAATAAAACATTCACTCACAAAACTAAATTAATCAATAATATCTGAACAAAACAGTCTTTCATATCATGACATAAACCCCTCTTCAAGATAAAATATTTACAATATTTTTTTACTATGTACAAAGACTGTTCTTAGTTCATACACCAAGTCTGCTCCAACATTTGCAGTTCCTTTGTCTGTCTCTCCTAACATAGGGTATCCAGTAGGGCTTTTCCTTAACAGGATCCCTCATCTTCATCTTGACCTTGTGTTGTCCGAGCTCTGTATTTCCTAATCTATCTGTATGCTGACACAGTAGATTTTGTTCCTCTTCCTATCAGTCAGTTTGACACTCATGTTCACGTCCTTGTGTCTCATCTCTACACAGTGCCCTTAGGCTTAGTAGGTCCTTACATTCTAAGACAAAGTCATGTCTTCTAGTTCTGCATCTATGATGGCCACACCTGCAGCATCCATCTCTGTTTCAATAGCTGCACTTGTTAGGTCTTCTTTCCCAAAATACTTCTTCAACATATTGGCATGGCAGATCTTGATCATTCACATTCACCTTCACATTCTGTTGAGTACTTCCTGTACTTCAAAAGGTCCTTTCCATTGCAAGGTGAGTTTTTTGTGGTCTATGGGCAGCAGAACTAAGACCTTTTATCCAACCTAAAGATGTTGATCCTTGGCCTTCTCATCATAAAAATGCTTCTGACTAACTTGAGGTGCATACAAACTCTGTTAAGCAAGTTGACAGGTTTCTTCTAGTTGGTTTCTGAGTTCTAACACATACTGGTATGTGTTCCTTACTTCTGACTCTTCTTCTCCCGTCCATAACTCTTTCAATATTTGCATTGGACCTCATACTGTTCTTCCATACAGTAGCTTGAAGGGTTAAAATCCTGTACTTGCTTGTGTGACATCTCGATAGGCAAATAATACTGCCTGCAAGTACCTGTCCCAGTCATGTGATCTCTCTTTGCACATCTTCTTTAGCATACTCTTTAAAACTCCACTGACTCTCTCACAAAGTCCATTA